ACTAAAATCAATGGAAGTAAAAAAGATGGGAGCCAAAAAAATTCTGGGCACAATGCACGCAGCAAAAACTAATAGAAAAAACAAAAAAATGGGCACATAAACTGGGAGCAAATGCAAGATAGATCTGAGGTTCCAAAGCAACGCCGTCCTGGCTTTGTAGGAAGCGGCCGAGGCGTACCTCGTGGGTCTCGTCGAGGACACGAAATTGTGCGTTATTCATGCCAGGAGGTTCACACGGTTATGCCAAAGGACATCCAGTTAGCGAGACGTATTCATGGCGAGCGTGCTTGAGGTTGTTGGTTGGGATTTGGGTTTAATGTTGGTGCTGCTGGTATGACTTATGAGAGTGCAAAATGTTGAGAAATTAGGGATTAGGAGCACAGATGTGAGAAGCGTGTATTTGTGAGGAGAAACGAGAGTGAGTGAGAGAGTGTTACAATAAGATTTGTTATGAAGCCATCGGATGGCTCGACTTATGGAGCCATCTGTACTTATTCACCAATAGTATATAGACACGTATCCTACGATAAATTCATTTTGGACAAGTGTCAATACATTAAGTAGTAGATGACTCCATAAAAAAATAATCTGATGGCTCCATAGAATTTTTACCCTTACAATATAAAATCGTTTTCCTTTCTTTTTTTTTTTTGTAAACTGCGGGCTGGCCCGCCAAAACCCACTGCCAGCGCAGGTCAATCCGTTTAAGCTCGCTCTATGGTGGGCCTTTGAAACAACATTCCACGTCCCAACCGAGGCGGGGCGGGCCTGCACGCGGACATCATTCATTTGTTGTCAATGCTTGTATCTCTTCATGTGGGAAACTTGGCTTGGGCTGCAGAGCTTGGCAAGAGAAAGCGACAATCCAAGATTGGGTAACTGCTATATCTTTCAGTGGTGATGATCTCCATGATGCAAACCTATTGGCAGTGAGATGGGGTCTGCAAATGATCTTGTCCCTCAACTGGTCCTCTGTTTTTTGTTTGGTACCACATAAGACACTATTACCTACATTAGACAAATCGCCTGTACATTGGCTATCTGGTTCCATTGTTCTTGACGATATTAACCCACTTATTGTCCAACTTTGATACTGTTTCGTGTACTTGTTTTAAGTCTGTTGATGTTGCTGTTAGGGATTTGGCTGAACGGGCCTTGCAGGAACCATTTCTCATCTCTCGATTTATGCGTCTCATCCTTGCGCAGGGGCCTTGCAGGAAGACTAGTCTTTATTTCCTGTGGCTTGTTCTCAGTATAATCTTGTAAAAGGACATGCGCTTCTTAACCATTTGGTTAGCTTGTGTAATGAGTTTAAATGAATTTTATCTTTATTGCTGAAGAAGAAAAAAAAAGAATCTGTGCTCTACAAGTTCATCATAAAAAGGTGTATAAGATAAATTAATTACGAAAAAAAGTTGGTTGAAAAAATAATTGCATTGACTATGACAAACTATATGAGTTTTGAGGACATATGAGAACCGAATCAAGAAAAATGGTGAAAATTTTCGGTTACAACACTGGAGAAATTAATTACAGCACTGCCAAGAAAGCCAACAGGAACCAAAATTACAAATCTGTCCTCTTAAGTCTTAACATGCACCAAAGCAAAAGGGGGGAGAACCCAGAAACACTCCAAAAAACACAACACATCATCAACAAACACACACAGAAAAACAAAGGGGAAGGGCACGAATCCTCTAGGACGAGGATCCGTGCGCACCACCAAATAATCGTTTGCATCTAATGCTAAAACACGACCCATTTTTTTTTTTTTCCCAAGTCATATTCCGAGAAAACCAAGAATCGAGAAACTAAAAGGCTGCGAATAATTTGCCCATTAGTTAGTTACTGAGGTGTTACAGTCCATACACGGACACAAGCATCCTCACCAGAACTGACAACATTGCGTTCATCAACGAAAGCCAATCCATAAACGCCACCTAGATGAGCTCCCTTTATAGTTATACGACTCGATGCAGGCTTGTCCACTTCGTATATGATTACACACGTGTCGAGTGAGCCAGTGGCAACCATGGTGCTATCGGGAGACCAAGCAAGGCAGTTAATTCGTGCGGTATGGTAAAGCATGTTTTTAAGCTTGATCTGGAAAAAATTGGTACAAATACTGAGAATCAAAGTACGCCTAAAGGAGAAAAAACAAGCAAAACAAGAAAGGAGAAAAAAAAAGTCAAAGATGATGTAAGCAGGCTACCATGCATAACAAAAATGAATTAAGGTCATGTTGTGCCACATGTAGGTAAAACTAGCTGATAAGCTAGCTTATAGCTTATAAGTGATTTTCGAGCTTATAGCTTATGAATAGCTGAAAAACTAGTTTATATAATATAAGAGTTTGTAAAATTAGCTGATAAACTATCTGTAATAAAAAATTTCAACGAGCTTATTTGAAAAGGTACACAAAAAATCTTATGAGATTATTATTAAATACAGAAAGCTTATAAATGTCGTTTTGAGAAGTTGCACAGTTGTTAAGAATATTTATTTGCCAATAATAGCCCTCATTAATGAGGATAGAGATGAATGTTTTGAGAAAAGATGAAGAGTGAATATGAAAAGACGTAGTGTATTTATTAGCTAGATGAGAGTAATAATGGAAAAATATGTAGAAAATATCCAAAACGACATTTATTTTGTTAATAGTTGATAATGCCAAAATGACATTTAAAAAATATAGGAGGTAGTAGCTTATTTAGTTACCAAACATAGTTGTAATCTTTCAATTCTCATCTAGATTATTCTTAAGTGTTGATTCTTTCATATCTCTCCTTTGGTCATTTTATCAAATATGTACTAGTTTTGTGGCAATGTAGAGTGAATATGAATGTATGCACTAATATATGTCATTTGTGGCCAACTTTGATCGCGAAGCTTAACATGTTTCTCATTTCAAGCAATAAGGGTGCGATTGGACATAAATCCAATCCGGATATAACCAATCAAACCCATTCCAAATCTAGCAACCAATTTTAAATTCAAATTTTTAACTCAAAATCAAACTCAATTTGATTATTCTGAATATTATCAATATAATTAAATAATATCAAAATGTCATTATTACAAATCACATCTAAAAATTTACTATTCAGCCACTCACATATTTTTAACAACAATCAAATCTAATCACCTCTCTCCTACTTTTACATCACGTCAACTTTAATCATTACACTTTAACTCATTCCAAATACAAACTCAAAATCCAATCCAAAACTCCACTCAATCACCTTTTCTCAACTTTAATTCACTTTATTCAATAAATCCACATCACACCCAAAAAATTTTATGTACAAACGCACCCTAACGATTTCAATTCTACTGTTTATTATCAATTATCCATATTCTCCCCTCTGGATTATTACTTACATAGAGTGAATTCCAATAAGGCTCCTAACTTGGTCCTCATCCGAACGACTTCTTGTCGTTCAAACTCGTCATCTTAAGGTTATCTATTCAACACCGTGAATAGAAATCTTTTCCATTTATATTATGTTCTCAAAAATTAAACGGATTTGTGAATATATTGAAGTTACGTACCTCTGTTAAGATTTATAACTAACCATATTATATTCCTTCACCTATAACACGTAAAATTTTGGACAACCTGAAAAAGTATAAAAATGTGGCAACAATGAGTGTTTTATTACCTCATGGGAAGCAGCATCCCAGACGACAGCTTCTCGATTAGCGTCCGCCGATGCAAACATGGAAACATCTGGAGAATACCGGATGACAGTTATAGCTCCCCTATGCTTCTCGAGCACTGCTTCTTCTTTCAGTGTGTCGCCAGTGATGGAATACACGTGCAATTTCCCGTCCTGACCTCCAACAATAGCTTCCTTGCCATTAGGTGCAATAGCGCAAGCAGCCACTGGGAACTTTAAGTCAATGGTGGACACAACTTTTCCACCATCGAGTATGATGACACCATTGTCAGTAGAAACTAATGCGATGTTTGGAGAAAGAAGGGCGAGGCTCAAGTCCTTTGCTGGATTGCCAATATCGATGCACTCTCCTTCACCGCATTGGTCTCCTTGTAGAGGAATTCTCCACACCTGCAGATAGTCAAAGAAGCATCATGGTACTTGGCATTCATTGGAAACCGAAAAAAAAAATCTGAGATGAGCATCTATGTACAAACTGCAAGTGAGAATAAACAGATGACAAGTATTACGAAAATAATGCAACTGCTAGAGGTATATTATAAAATTCTCACCAAGTAATGTTTCCAAGAACAACAAGTAGAGGTAAGAAGAGGATTCTAGCATATTGTACGCAAACTAAAGGCAAACGTTAACATCTGTAAAAGTTTCAATTGCTCAAACCTTATTGTCAAATCCAAATGAAACGATTTCTTCATCAACAGCAGCCAAACATTTGATTTGAGAAACCACCTTCCTCTCTAATTTCCCGTGGTATCCCATACCTTGAACCCACTTGACAATTAAACCATCATAGCTGCTGGATAATATAACTTTGGGGTTTTTCAGCACCATTAGAGAACTGACATTCTTCATGTGTCCAGACAATATCAATGGAGCCTTGTCAAGATCACTGGCTGAGTACAAATATAATGTGCCACCAAGGGAAACAGTGACGATATAATCGTTCTGCCAGAGACAGCCAACTAACATATCATCTACTCCACCAGAATCTGAACAAGACAAGGTTTTCTTCACTTTTCCAATATTATCCTCGGATATTTCCCATAGTTTTGCAGACTTATCAGCAGATACTGTTAGCACCTGAAATTATGTTTTAGAAAAACTGAATTTACTTACTCTGCAGCAAAAATGAGAAGTAGAAAAGAACAAGAAAAATTATAATGTCATCCGTGAATAAATTATATAGATAGATTTCTCAAAGAGATATGAGAACTGAGATTGGAAATCGTTCCATCTTTTCTACGTGCTCAATAATGTTCAAGAAAGCAGAAATATGCCCAGGTTTTAAATTCGGTGCGAGAATTAATCGAACATTGATCATACTAAGTCTGCTATCTAAGTCTTTCTTCAGCCACAACCATCTTTATTAAATCAATTACCAGAAACTAGGTAACAATGTCAATACAGATAAAAGTATAGTTCATTGTCAAAAAAGAAAAAGAGAGAAAAGATAGATAAAAAACTAGTACAACTGATGTGCAGGAACATCGCAAGTCAATCCTCATTTACAACATGCCAATTTTATTTCTTCTCAGGTCCTGTATATTAATTCACCTTATGAGAGCTTTCACGAACTATAGAAAAATAATGATTCAGAGAAATGTTTAATGTTGATTCACTAAGTTTTGAAAATTTTACCTGCTTACTGTCAGGACCCCAACTAATTGCATATATACTACCTTTGTGGCCATCCTCAGACGACAATTCCCCGATTATGTCACCAGTTTTGGCATCATATATTACACCCTTTTTGTCAGAGCTCACGGTAATGAATTTGCTCCCATCTGGAGAAAAGCGAACACAATTTACGAAATTCGAATGATCCCTGCAAGCGAAAATTGTATCAAGTAATTTCAGGGAATGACCGGAATGTAAAATCAAACAAGCTTCAACCCACTAAAACTGCCATTAGTTGAAGCAATGCCATGTAATAAACCCAAAGACAGTGATTGTTGTCTCAAAGAGGCACAAGAATTGTGTCAAGAAGCTTCTAAAAAAATTAAACATCATTTTGGAAAAGTAGTTCAAATAAATGTAATTTTATGTAGATAGATAACATAACCAGTTACAGTTAAGTATAATATTAGTGAAGAGAAACCTGTGAGATAGCTTGAACTTAAATGGAGGTCCTTCATAAAAATTAACCAGAAAGTCCTCCCCACATGTTACAATGCGAAATGGTCTTGTTGGCTTAAATGCACAGCTTAAAACTCTTCTTGAATGTCCATCAAATTCTCCAACATTAGTTCCTGAGTCCCACCTGCAAATTAAGCTCATCAAAACAAGAATTGCTGAAATATAGTCACTAGCATCACTAAACAGACATCAATACACTAGAAGATTTGACATAAGATTGAAGAGATAGATTCCCGGAGTTAATAAAAGATGCATTTTCACTGAATATATTGCATTCCGGTGAAAGCACAATGTGTTTTGTTGTTAAAGGACAAAATCATGATTTAGTTTGCTCCCTTATTTACACTAGCTAATTCACGTAGACACACCATTTAGTGAAAGAAAATTCTTGGTGCATGTGATGGTTGGCTTAAAATATTACTACGATAGGAAATAGTTCGTCATTCCGGATAAACTGTTGGCAGGAAGAACAACCACACAGAAATGGCTCATATATGCAAGCTATTTATGTTTTACAAGACAACCCCGCAAATGAGTTAATTCCTCTTGCAAGCAAATTTGGAACTATTGACAAAGTTGGCAAAGTGTATAAAGGCTCATTCGTCTAGTTTGTTTATCCCGAGCAAACACTAGAGGAATTCATCAACACCATGTCATATGTAAAATGACTATACAATTACATTCTGTCAGTCAATACCTCTTCCCACGGGTGATTACAATTCAGATTATGTGCCCTAATAAGTAATAATACTAAAATTTGGCTTCCATGTCGTCCAGCAATCGTTAAAACTTCAGCACCTTTCAATTAACATACTGAAAATTGAAAACACGGAAAGAATGTATTCTGAGGGAGCAACATGCTTATAAAAAGAACAACACGCTGCACGAACCTTGTTAACTTCAACTACTATAGAGAGCACGGCAACATAAACATGCTTCAATCCAGACATCAGCTAATAAATGACCAAACAATTTCAACAGCTTCAGAAACAATATCATGCGTTCCAAATTTTCCACAAATATTACACCCAGCTCCCTTCTTCAGAACCACTACAAGCAAATTTTATCTTTCCTTAAATTACACTAGCTACAGCCTAATATATCCGAATTTTTCAACGTATCAAATACATTACCAATCCAAACAAGCACCTCAACGTTGGATAAAACATACGTTCTCGCACTTACATGAATGCTCGCACGAACGACTTGCCCTTGCCGTCGCCGGACGCCACAATCCGCTGACCATCGGGCGACCACTGGAGATCGTCGATCCGACCCGAAAGCACCCGGAATTCCTTCTTCAACACGAACTCGCTGCGGCTCCCCCAGATCCGAACCGTGCCCGAGACGTCCGCCGACGCGATCCACTCGCCGTTGGGGGAGTACCTCGCCACGGTGGCGGGGTACGCGTGCTCCCCGTACACCTGCATCTCCAGCGGGCGGTCCAGGTGCCGGATAATGACGGATCGGCCGTTGCAGTATAGAATCGAGTTTGATTTCGGATCGCCAGATAGGAGGATGCCGCGGCCGCGCTCCGTCGACGGCACGCAGGCGTACGTTTCCGATAACTGCGCCATTTTTTTGCTATTTTTTTCTCTCTGCGTTTTGTTTGGGGTTGTGAAAGTGAAGGTGACAAAGGGGAACGAATTTAAAAAAATTAATCTAAAAAGCAAAAAGGATAATAACTCAATTAATCTAAGAATATAATTTTATAAATATTGACTTAATGTTTTGTGTGATTTTCATGAGATTGCAATGAAAATTTATGAAGTGTAGATTGATATTAGATTTATGAAAGAAAACTTGTTGAAAATATTCAAATAATCTATTTACTAAGTTTGACATAATATATTAATAATAACATTTCATTTGTAAAATTTCTAAAAATTTTATGGTTCAATTCGATCTTCAATACAGATATTTGTCAAAATCTTCATAATCACACTAATTATTTTTCCAATTCTTTTTTTATTATCCAGTACGGATGTTTGCGAGCTCGAGCAAGTTAAATTCTAACGTTTATAATTACATTTTCATCTACGTTTGTGAAATATTCAGTTATTCTTTCAGTTCAATTCGATCTTCATTACATATACTTGTCAAATCTCCAAAATCGCACTAATTATTTTTTCGATTCTTTTTTATTCTTAGTATGAATTTTTGACCAACCCCGAACACGTTGAAATCTAATTCTAGTCGAGCTCGCGCCTGCATTTTGTAAACTCGAGTGCTCGATGAACTACTCCAATATATACAAATTACCTAAACACGTTGAAAATATGAATAAAAAAGTTTATAAACTTTGAAATAATAACATATTTTTATGAAAATTTTATTACAAGTCTGCATCCAAAAAAGCTCAAATGACCACAAAGAATATGCAAGAAATATTGAATTATTTATAAAAATGTCACAAATGCTGCAGTAAAAAATTTCTTAAACATCTCTCTCAACTCATTACAATAACACACAATTCTCAAGTTTAATTAACAAAGTCCAAACCACAGACAAAAGTTCAACAGCAA